AGAAAGAGAGACAGAGAGACAGAAAGCAGGAAATCACCCCCCAGGGGGGATGGCCATGCTGCAATCCCTTCTCCTCCATTCTCCTCTCCAGATCTTGGGCATGCATGTACACATGCCCAGCGTGAGTTTAAGCCACCGGGTCTGGGACTCGAACTGTGGTCAACTACGTTGGAGTCCAGCAACATAGCCATTACACTAACTGCTGGTCCAATTCTTTGTATTTTATATAAACTATAAACACCTGTTTAACCAATACCTTATATTAAATGATCTCTGTTGAGGGACCAGCAGTTGGCATAATGGCTATGTCACTGGACTCCCACGTAGTTGACTGCGGTTTCAGTCCCAGACCAGGTGGCTTAAACTCATGCTGCATGTGTGTGCATGTGTGTCCAAGATCCCGAGAGGAGAATGGAGGAGAAGGGATTGTGGTATGCCATCCCCCCTGGGGGTGATTTTTTGCTTCCTGTCTGTCTCTCTGGCAAACTCATGCCCCCTATAGCAAAAACCTCTCCAAAACAAAACAAAAAAATTATCTCTGGGACAGAGTGAGAGAAAAGAAAGAGAGAGAGGGAAAGTGAGAAGCAAGCTGCCAGGTCCAGGCCTTGAACCAGGGTTGGCCATGTGGGAATCCAGTGCCCTTAACCACTACACCATCTGCCAGCCCCAACACCATGCTCTCTTACATCTCAGCTAAACTATTATTTCCTCAGCGTGAACAACATGAAAACTTTTCTTTCATAGGACTTGAAAATCACTTTAAACATATTTGTACATTATAAAGTGATCATTTGGTTAGGAAAAAGTTACAGATCTGTGTTCATTTGTCTGATGTCCATCTCCCCAGCTGGCCTGTAAGCCCTGTGGGAGGTTCGTTCACTATGGCCTAGGCGGTATCTACTGCAGAGTTGTACAGTTAACAGTTACTGATGAATGAATTAACCTATCTACTCCTCCACCCATGCACCCTCTCATCCATCCATCCATGTATCCTCATGTCTGTCAACTATCCGACAAGACTCATCTTCTCACCTACCCACCTCTCTGCCCACCTACCCTCTTGTGTGCCCACTTCCAGAGATTTACCGATTGCTTGTCTGGTTTGCCCACCTATCTGTCCACCTACTGCCTGCCCATTCATCAGTCTCTCAGGCCTTCTCCCCTATGTCTGTTTGTTGTCTACTTTTCTGTCTACGCACCTGTTCATCTACCCATCCATCTACCCATCCAACCAGAGGCTCTTTTTGGGGGGTTTAGGGAGGTAGAGGGTGCATGCACTTGCCAGAGAGAAACAGGGAGAGAGGGAGGAGTCACCTCCCCATGAAGCATGGTCATGCCACAGTCTCTTTTCCTCTTATTTCTCCATCCTGCCAGGGCTTGGGACATGCACGCACACATTGTGTTTTTCAAGTTGCAGGGGCTGAGATTTGAAATGCACACTTGGCATGTGGGGGCCAACTTTGTTGACCATCAGACCACAGAGCCAGCCCCCTATCCACAGGCTCTTAATCGACTCTGGGGGAAAAAACCCTGCAAAATAAAAAATGAATCAGACTTCATTGCTGCACATCCAGAGCTCCCTGTGCAGAAAGGAAAAGGCAGGGGGGCTCCTTCCACCCTAGGGTGCTGACCCCGGCCTCTTGGCCTGCTCTAACAGGAGTGCCCACGTCCAGAGTTTGCTACCCTGGCCCCGCAGATGGCCTGGAACCCAGTGACGGGCCTGAAGGAGCCCTACTTCCCACTTCGCAACCGCCTTCCTCGCCTACTCACTGGCTCTGCAGCCATCCTTATCATGGTAAGGGAGCTTTGGGCCTTGCTTGGGAAGAACCAGCCCTTCCGGGATGTGCTAGAACCCTGGCAGCCCAGCGTCCAGTTTTGACAGCCCCCTTCCTGGCCTACAGCTCTGTGTAGTGATGATTTTCCTGGTTTCCGTCATCATGTACCGTGGCATCATCAGCATTGCAATGTTCCACACTGGAAACCCCATGCTCATGACCCAGGTAAGTAGCTCCTGGGGCAATGATGGGTGGAAGCACTGTTCCTGGCTCCAGGCCCGGTGTGGTTAGCCTCGGGTTCTTTCCACCCCTCCGCATGGGGGCCTCCAGCTGATGGCCCTTCACTCTGCCTAGGCTGGCAACATTGCCAACATCAGCAGCACTGTACTCAACCTGGTATTGATCCTCCTTTTGGGCCAGGTCTACACCTCATTAGCTGAGCAGCTCACTAGATGGGGTGAGTGGAGACAACAGGTTTCAGGGCTGTCTTGGTGTCATTTGGGAACTGGGAGCCTTGATGCAGGCTCCCTGTTTCTTAGAGCCTGGACCTCCAGCCTTGGTGTCCTCAGGTACCCCCACACTCCCCATGTGGTCAGGGGCACATGGCCAGCAATAGGGGATGGTGGGTTGGGGATGGGAACACAGGTGCTGACCCACTGGGTAGTGTCTGCCCCCGTGCATCCAGTAGCACTCTGACCAGCTCTGCCTTTGCCCAGAGATGCATAGAACCCAGAGTCTCCACGAGGATGCCTTCACTTTCAAAGTCTTCATTTTCCAGTTTGTCAACTTCTACTCCTCTCCCTTCTATGTGGCATTCTTCAAAGGCAGGTGAGGACTAATCTCCCCCCTCCACCCTTGAGGCTAACACATCCCAACTAAGTGGCCCAGCAGAGCAGCAGCACCCCATGGACTCCAGATCTGTGTGGACCAGGTCATGTTGTTGACCTTGAAGCTGGTTCTTAGTTTCTCTGGGCTAGAGTTTTCTCACCTGTAACATGGAAGCTGTGAAAATCTGACACCTGCATCCACTCCTTCACCAGCCATCACTGGGGGACCCCAGGCCTCACACCATGATCTCCCAGGGCTACTGGTTGAGTTCATCTCTGTCTGCACATTCTGGGCTGGATACTGGGACAGAACTGAGTCAGAGCTTCTCCCAGTCTTCAGGGAGGATTGGTCAGAAGCAATCAAGGGCTGGACTTGCAGGAGGTGGTGTCACTATGTAATCACTGTTGTCAATTGGCAGGAGAGGAGGGAAGAGCCCCAGAAAAGCCCACTCCCCAGCACCATGACTCCACTGTCCTGGGCCAGAGCTGCCCCATTGGCCAGCCATGGGTTAAGTATAGATGAAGGCCATGGTGGCAGCAGGCCTATGGAACATGGCCCTGGGGCTAAGCTAAAGTGGGCCAGGCCTCTTGTCAGCAGGATTAGCTCTCAGTGGGTGTGAAGCCAGAGCATTGGGAGCAGAATGGGAGGAGGGGGTCAGCCTTGGCACAGAGGTTAGCTGTGCCCTGGCTCCAGAGAGGAAGGGCATATTCCAACAGATGCGGTGGGCCTGCAGGTTTGTGGGATACCCTGGTCGGTATGGCACATTGCTTGGCATGCGGAATGAGGACGTGAGTATCCCTGGGTAGCTGGCTCCTGGGAGAGGGTGAGAGTCTTCACATTCTCAGGCCTGGCAGGGGCAGGGTCTGCTTTTGGGGCCTCCAATGTGGGTGGGAGGAGCAGGTGCTTAGTTCCATGCACTGGTGGGGAAGTAGGGGCACCCCTTTGCCGCCCCTAAACCCAAGGAAGGTGCCGTGTGTTTGCCAATGCAGTGTGGCCCCGGTGGCTGCCTCATCGAGCTCGCCCAGCAGCTCTTCATCATCATGGTGGGCAAGCAGCTGGTCAGCAACGTGGAGGAGTTCGTCGTGCCGTGAGTGGAGGGGGTTGGTTGGGACAGGATGGGCCTCGTCAGGCTGTGGGAAGGGTTTTCACAAGAGTGAAGCAGAAGACACCTCTGACTGGGAGTCAGGAGACAGGGGCACGAGTCCTAGAGCCCGGCCTCATACGAGCTGTTTGTGTCGGTACGGTGAGGACAGTAACACCGCTCCAAGGATTGAGAGAATTATGGGATGCTGGAGCTTTGGAAATGGAGGGCTCTCTGTCACTATTTTGGATTGGAGGGGCTTCCAAAGATCAAGAATGACCATGTAGGAAGCCCAGAGTGAGGAGCACTGGACTTGAGTCCAGCAGGCCAGATCTGAGCCCTGGTTCCACCATGGCTTACAATGTGGGAAGCCTTGAGCAAGGTCTCAAGGTCTCTGTTTCCTCCTCTGTAAAGTGGGGATAATCATGGTGCCTACCGTTGAGGGATGTTGGGGGAACAGAGGTGACAGTTCCTGGCGGGAGGCTCTCGTTGTGACCATTGCTCAGACTCCCTGCCCCCCTCCCAGGAAGCTGAAGGCCTGGTGGCAGAAGCGGCAGCTGGCAGAGCTGCGGGCTGTCCAGGTGGGACAGGAGCTGCAGCGCTGGGAGGAGGACTATGAGCTCCTTGAGTGCGAGGGCCTGTTCCAGGAATACCTGGAGATGGGTGAGCAGAGGCCCAGCGCATGTGTGCGGGTTTGGGCGTGGGACCCCCGCGGGGCAGGTGGCCTGGCCTGACACTGCCCGACTCCCAGTGCTGCAGTTCGGGTTCATCACCATCTTTGTGGCTGCTTTCCCTCTGGCGCCCCTGTTCGCGCTGCTTAACAACTGGGTGGAGATCCGCCTAGACGCCCACAAGTTCGTGTGCGAGTACCGG